CTACGCTGGTGCAGTGGGTCCTGGGTTCCTCCCTGGTGCAGAGGGCCCTGGGTTCCTCCCTGGTGCAGTGGGTCCTGGGTTCCTCCTGGTGCAGTGGGTCCTGGGTTCCTCCTGGTGCAGTGGGTCCTGGGTTCCTCCTGGTGCACGACAATGCCTGGCCTCATGTGGGGAGAGTATGCAGGCAGTTCCTGGAGAACGAAGGAATTAATACCATTGAATGGCCCCCACGCTCGCCTGACCTAAATCCAATAGAACCCCTCTGGGATGTCATGTGTCGGTCCACCCAACGCCACCAGGTTGCGCCTCAGACTGTTCAAGAGCTCAGTGATGCCCTGTCTAGATCTGGGAGGAAATCCCCCAGGACACCATCCGTGGTCTCATTAGGACCCTCACCCAACATTGTCAGGCATGCATACAAGCATGTGTGGGCCACACAGACTACTGAGGACCATTCTGAGTTGCTGCAATGACATTTCACCAACATGGACTCGCCTGCTGCATCATTTCTTCATTTTGATTTTCGTGGTGTCTTTGAATTCAGTCCTCTGTAGGTCGATCATTTTCATTTCCATCAAATTATGGGGTGTCCTTACGTTCCCCACCCATCCATGTCAGTTTAGAGATCCAGCAGGAAATTCCTCCCTATTGAGATCTGATGGGTTTTCAAAGTCTTCCTTTAAGTTTTTTGAGCTGAATCTATATGGCTTTGTTTCTCAGAAAATAGGTGCAGGACCGCAACCATGACAGCCCCCCCCCCCCCCCCCCCCCCCCCACACACCCTCCAAACCTCAACAGAGTCTGGGGGGGGAGGGGTGCATTAAATGTAAAGTTTGTGGGTGCACGATGTACATAGTGCAGAGTTCAGGGGTGTGCTGTATACAGAGTGCAGAGTTCAGGGGTGTGCTACACACAGAGTGCAGATTTTAGGGGTGTGCTGCATACAGAGTGCAGATTTCAGGGGTGTGCTGCACACACAGTGCTGAGTTCAGGGGTGTGCTGCATTCAGTGGTGCACTACACGCAGAGTTAAGGGGTGTGCTTCATTCAGAGTTCAGGGGTGCACTGCACACAGAGTGAAGAGTTCAAGGGTGAGTTACACAGAGTGCAGAGTTCAGGGGTGTGCTGCATTCAGAGTTCAGGGGTGCACTACAGAGTGCAGAGTTCAGGGGGACACTAAATGCAGAGTTCAGGGGGCACTAAATACAGAGTGTAGAATTCAGGGGTGCACTGCATACAGAGTGCAGATTTCAAGGGTGCGCTACACACAGTGCAGAGTTCAGGGGTGCACTGCATACAGAGTGCAGAGTTCAGGGGTGCCCTGCATAGAGTTCAGGGGTACACTGCATACAGAGTGCAGAGTTCACGGGTAAATTACACACATCCTCCTGACCACTGCACTCTGTATACTGAGCCGTATATTATATACCCCTGACCACTGCACTGCAACCAGTGTTCATGGTTAACTGTGTAGCGCTACTGCCATAGGAGCCACTTTTATTATTGCCCAGGTCTCTCCTTGCTGCACTCCGCTGCCAGTCACAAAGTATTTTTCACAGCCAGGTGCACACACTTTCGCTCATTCTATCCAATGGCCAGTCTAGAGGATGTTTGGGGTTTTTGGAGTTTTATTGTAGGACTGGGGATAGGGATGGGGAATGTAGTAGGACACTCCAAGATCAGAATTCTTCACACTGAGGACATCTCGCTGATCTCCTAGTTGGGCGCTGGTGAAGTCCCTGTAGAAGTCCCGGTTGAAGCAGATAGCAGACTTCTCTTTAGATTGCAGCAACAAGTAGTTTAAGAGTGAGCCGAGTCCCTTTAGCAGTAGTAGTAGTTGCAGGGCTGAGCCCCTCAGGTACAGGCCTGTTATGGCAGACTGCGACAGTTCATAAAAACAGCAGAACTTGAGCAAAGTCCTTGGCAGTAGCAACACTTGGACAAGCTCTTCAGAACACCAGCCAGAGTTCCCTTTTCTCAAACCCATGCTGACTATCAAGCACCAGAGGAGTAGCAGAGCACACAGAGGCCCCGAGATCTCTGTGTCTGTACTCAAGGCTCAAGGACAGAATGGTTGCCTCCTTCCAATCTTCCAGGCGACTTTCTCCAGTGATACCAGACAGATCTTTGGCAGATGGCCCCCCTCATTCAGCATAATGTAGAACCAGGGTCACTCTTTGACTTCAGGTTCTCGGGTTGCCCACCTGAGGCCTGCATGGAAGCAAGTGCGACAGCCCAAAGGTGACATAGCTGAGCAAAGTCCTTGGCAGTAGCAACACTTGGACAAGCTCTTTAGAACACCAGCCAGAGTTCCCTTTTCTCAGACCCACGCTGACTATCAAGCACCAGAGGGGTAGCAAAGCACAGAGTCCCCAAGATCTCTGTGTCTGTACTCACAGGGCCCAAGGACAGAATGGCAGCCTCCCTCTAAACGACTCTCTCCGGTGATACCAGACAGATATTTGGCAGATGGCTCCCCTCAGTCAGCGTATTGTAGAACCAGGGCCACTCTCTTTGACTTCAGGCTCTTGGGCTGCCCACCTGAGGCCCGCATGACAGCAAGTGTGCCAGCCCAAAGGTGATGTAGCTGAGCAAAGTCCTTGGCAGTAGCAACACTTGGACAAACTCTTCAGAACACCAGCCAGAGTTCCCTTTTCTCAGACCCACACTGACTATCAAGCACCAGAGGGGTAGCAAAGCACACAGAGTCCCCAAGATCTCTCAGTGTTTGTACTCACAAGGCCCAAGGACAGAATAGTTGCCTCCTTCCAAGCGACTCTGTCCAGTGATACCAGACAGATCTTTGGCAGTCAGCTTAGTGTAGAACCAGGTAACTCTCTGACTTCAGGCCCTCAGGTCACCCACCTGAGGCCACATGGCACCAGGTGCCAGGCGAGACAAGCCTTCCACCAGCCTGGTTGGTGCAATCATCTCCAGGAAAGGGCCTGAGTTCATGTGCTCACAGAACATAAATACTTCTCCCAGCATGCAGTGGGGACACCTTCCCCCACAATTGGCTAGGTGCTGTATCCATATTCATGCTGATCATTTTCCTAGTCCCTACCCATGTTTTGGAAGGTTCTCTTAGCTTCCTGAAGGCAGGTGGAGCTCAAGGCAAACTCAAAAGCACAAGGGCACCATGAGCAGACCTGATATCAGGGTCCTGTCCACAGCAGAAGTTCTGGTGTTTCTGCCAGTACTCTGCATGGCCACAGAAGGACATATCAGCCTCAGTTTTCTGCCAGACGGCCTTTATAAGGAGGGTCATCACTTCCTCAAGTTGCTGGATGATCTCTAGCTCCCCGTGCCTTGTTCCTGTGACTTTGACCCGTGATTTCCTGTTACTGACTCGGCTTGCTCCTGGACCTGTCTACTCTGCCTTACCCCTGATCTGACCTCAGCTTGGCTTACGGATACTCTCTCTCTCGCTCCTCTGTGTATGACCTCGGCTATCCCATCTAACTATGTCTGCTCTGATTCCCACCTGGTACCTGACCTTGGCTTGAACCGATTACCCAGTAAACATCTAAATCCCAGAAGGGCTTGCATACCACGCACAGGCGCCTCCTGTCTGCAGACCTATCTCCATGCACCAGCTGTGCTTCTGAGTGGACCACCAACCAGCACTCCTACAGGCAACCTGTGCAACTTTGGGTCAGACTCTCGCTGTCCCACTCTCAGGGGAGTCCGGAGCCGCAAGGGAAGTCCTCTATCCATTGGCCTCCATCTCCAGGTACGTGATACATGACTAATCAACCCCAGCCCTCTGTGTATACCAGACTGAATTTACCCAACAGCCTCTCTGGTAAGCAGAGAAACACAGCTATCCTCATCCTCACTATACAGATCCTAAGGAGGGCGCCACAACCTGTAAAACCTTTTAAAGCATCACCTACCAGCCATGTTGGATATCCAAGTCTGCCATCATTGCACACACAAAATTTTATTTTTGGTCCACCATTTTTTTTTGTTACAATTTTACTTCGGACAAGGTTGCAGTCATAAAATCGGGAAATAGTAAAGGGAAAAAAATCCCTTGTTTGGAATGTGGAGGCGGAGTCATTATTGATTGGTGTACAATACACAACGTGTTCCATTATTATATCAAAGTATGGTAGAAAAGATCCCGACAATGGGGGGGAGGGGGAAATAATCCCGGGGAATTTGTGTACGAGGTGCACCTTCATAGTGACCACTATTTTATTCTCCGGGGCCTATTCCTTCAGAAAATACATGTTTGGGGGTGTTAACTAATCTTCAGGCCCAAAATCTGCAAAAGTGATGCAAAACCGGCTCCGGCAGTGAAAGGGTTAATGTGAACTAGGTGGGATCCCTCTGCTGGGGTCACACTCTAAACATTAGAGCGCCCCCTATCTGCAGCCTGGTGATAACATTGCTGGGAGGTCTGTAAATTTAGCCGCTATATGATGATAAGCCATGGAGTATATCTTAGGTGTACGTATATCAGAGGGTGCTTCTCCCCCACATGACAGCTGGGATGTCCAGCAACATTCATCTAGAAGACATTTCCCGCACTCAAGGCACTAATACAACTCCAGGGTTGTGTGGAACCAGGGGTGGACTGACCATTTGGAAACTCGGGCACTGCCTGAGGGCCCAGGGTCAATAGGGGGCCCCATGAGATGACCCTAGTACCTTTTCATAGGCTTTTTTGAGTTTGGGCAAGGACACAGGGGCCCCATGATCCCCTATTGCCCGGGGGCCCCATGAATTGTCAGTCCGCCCCTGTGTGGAACCCCAGGAAGACAGAACTTCAATGACTAACAATTCCCTCAGTCAGAGGAAAGGACTTCTGCCTTGTGTGAGATCTCTGATGTCTGCGAAGGTTGGACCTCTGCGAAAAACATTTCCCGCACGCAGGACAGGAATACGGGTTTTTTCCCCCGTGTGAGACCTCTGATGTCTGACTATCTCTGATTTTTGTACAAAACATTTCCCACACACCGGACAGGAATACGGCCTCTCCCCCGTGTGAAACCTCAGATGTGTGATAAGATTGGACTTCCCTGAAAAACATTTCCCGCACTCAGGACAGCAATACGGCTTCTCCCCCGTGTGAGATCTCTGATGTGTGACAAGATTTGATTTTTGCCCAAAACTCTTCCCGCACTCAGCACAGGAGAACCTCTTCCCGGTTGGAAGGCGTGTCCGGTCCCGCACAGTCTGAGGTTCCTCAGGATACGAGGAATCCGATGGTCCATCTACACTGGGTGGTGCCGGATGGACATTGGAGGGAGCCGGGTTTTCTCCTGGACTATACTGTGTGATGTCCTCATCTTCTACTTTCCAGTCTGGAGACAAAGTGAGACAATCCTCGGAGGTTTTCCTCATCTCCCGGCCATGGACTAAAATACAAAGACAAAGAGGATTACTAGACAGGAGAAACATCAAAATCTGTACAAATGCACAACTAAAGTCCATGGAGCAAATAGTGAAACCACGCTTTTCTCGTGTTGGTTCAGTCCTTATATAGTGCACTCCACCCCTGGGGCCTCCATACTGCTGATCTTGGAACATTGACCACCATGTAAAAGTGAGGCCAAAAACATGTGTCCCCTCATGGGATCATACTAAGGTTAGGATACAAGCTGCAGGTGCCTAGGTTGAGAAATCAGCATTTTGCTGCCAGCTGAACCCCAGAATCTCCATAAATCCAGTCTAGAGACATCAATTGTGTCTGCAGCACAGAGAAGGAAGATTATCCGAGAGAAATTCAGAAATACAGGACGGGGAACACAGCTCAGGAAAGTGATATCACCCCGCCCCCGCCCTATTCTGCACCAATCAGTGAGCAGTTGGGGGGAGGAATGGATTTAGTGTTCATGACCCACCTGTGCTGATCTCTGTAGGAGTGTCCTCCTCTATAAATGTCCCCATTATTCCATCCTCCTCCATAGACTGCTGATCATCCCTCACATACGCCTCTTCTTCTAATTTCACCTCAACTTTAGAATCTCTCAGGTTTCCACTCTGAATATATAATAAAAATGACATCAATGGTAACAATGCAGATAATGTACAGATCCTAATGATACTATCAGTGATTGTTCCAAATCTACCTGATGATGGTGAGGGATGGTGTGACCTTCCTGTGTGGAATCCCGGGAATACAGAGGATGGGGACATTTTTCTGGTGGATTCCTGGTATTAGATGGCTCCATCATTTCCTTGTGTCCTTCTGAAAGCTCCTTCATCACTCCATACTCCTCATCCTCCTCTTTATACTCTTCTTTAACATGGATATTTTCATCCCTGAACATGGAATCCCGGGAATACAGAGGACGGGGACATCTCTCTGGTGGGTTCCCATGACTAGATCCATCTACCTGATGATGGTGAGGGATGGTGGGATCTTCCTGTGTAGAATCCCAGGAATACAGAGGACGGGGACATCTCTCTGGTGGGTTCCCATGACTGGATCCATCTGTAGGAAACACACACACTGACTGAATCCATTGTTTCTATGTGTTTATCAGATGATGGGGGATCTAGGTGGATCCTCCGTACTGCTCTCTCCTTTCCAATAAAGTCTCCTCTTACCCAGTGATGTGAGGGGCGGCTGATTGTCCATCATGACGTCCTTGTAGAGGTGCTTGTGTCCTAAATACTCCTACATATAGAAATAGACAGTGACACCCTGCACACCTTATAGGAACCTGACACACATAATGATACAGTCACCATCCAGAAACATCCCTTGTCTGTTACTGGAGAATGTCCCAGAATTCCCGGCACCGCTCACCTCTCCTGTCAGCAGCTCCATCATCTTCTTGGTGACTTCTAGAATCTTCTGCATGTTGTGTCTCTCAGGGTTTAGGAAGTCACATGGAGACACTGTGATGGTCATATGGTCACCTGACTTCAGAAGAGGAAATCTCTGTATTGAGGAACCAATAGGAACATCATGTTAGACTCCCAGAATCCTCCTCACCTCTCCAGTCAGGTCTGTGTTTTATTAATAGAGATGAGAGTGATGTCATGTGACCTCCCAGAATCCTCCTCACCTCTCCGGTCAGGTTTGTGTTTTATTAATAGAGATAAGCGATGGCATGCGACCTCCCAGAATACTCCTCACCTTTCCGGTCAGGTCTGTGTTTTATTAATAGAGAGGGGAGTGATGTCATGTGACCTCCCAGAATCCTCCTCACCTCTCCAGTCAGCAGGTAGATGATCTCCAGGGTGAGCTTTAGTATCCTTTCAGTCATGTGACTCTGGTCCTCCTCCATCCTCATTGGTCTATACAGGTCTCCTTGTAGATGGATAACTTTGGGAAATGAAAGTAAGAATGATATGGATGGTATTGGTCACACAATATTAGGATGTGGACGTGGGGGGGGGGGGGGAGAAATAATAGGAGGGTTGCTGTACATTTAAGAATTATGGCCCCCATGGGAACCCATTTAGTTTTGAATCTTTAGTGTTTGTTACATCTTGGGTGTCCTGGGACTCTCTTGGCCCACCGGGTCAGAAGTTCCTTTTTCTCTGTTGGGTTTGTTTGGTCTCTGAACTGGTTTTGATGAGTTTTAGATCTGCAGACAAGGAATGATAAATACGATCCTTGCTATGACTTGTTTGCTGGGAGGCAGTGCTGTGAGGACAATGTCGGGTCAGCATGATGTCCAGGAAGGGGAACTTGCTGACCTTTGGCCAAAGTTGCCAACCAATCAGTATAATTGGCAGATCTCCAGCTGTAAGGCTGCAATCTCCAGCAGCCTGCCTACTGACGGGAGTGATGTCACTGCAGTAAAAGAAGGGATTGGATTGGATAGCAGGAGGATGCTGCTGGAGCTGTGGGGGAGGAGTCTGTTCTCTTCCCTCCAATGGCAGCTCAGTAAGGGTAGTAAGGGGGTAGTAGGGGAAGGAGTTTGCTCTCTTGGTTGCCAAGTATACTGTAGTATTCAGGACATTGTACAGAGTGCTGGTGGGCTCCTGGGGCTCTGAATTCCGGCACTGGGCACTGCCAGAGCCTTTGTCATGGGAAGGTATTGGACTGTTCCCCAAAAACCACAACATAGACCCATGGCTACCTGTTAAGAGATGCAGCACAAACAGACCTCCTATAAGTATGAGTGCCACCAAGGGGTGAAGGACTTCCCTTCTTCATTCCACTTGGTATCCAGGAGATGGTAAGAAGGTGAAGGTTGCCTTCATTTCCTGGCAGGAAATCTGTAAGGAGGTAAGAAATGTAAGTGCAGGTGGGAGGAAGAGCATAGACTAGGAGCCCTCCTCCCTACCTTACAGTCACTTTGAGTCCTACAGCCTCCTCTTCCCACAGAGCACTGCAGCCTGCCAAACCTATCATGGACCCAGAGTCCTTCAGACCCACTACCCCCAAATGGGTCTCTAGAGTCCATCAGCTATCCATTATCTTTCACAACCCCTCAGCTCCTCTACATCCCTCAGACCCCTCAGCTCCTCTACTTCCGTCAGACCCCTCAGTATTTCCTCCCTCTGACACCAATGATGGTACATATTTTTCATGGCCGGCTGGGGGATGTTTTCTTCCACCTGACCAGCAATGTAAGGGTCTCTATGCTCCATACTCCTGACCAGCAATGTAAGGGTCTTTATGCTCCATACTCCTGACCCCGGCACTCCATCATTGTGCTGGCTGCATAGTGTATTGATTGCCCATTGGCTGCCTGTGTAGTGTAATCATCGCCCTCTGTAGGCCATGTATGGTCAGGAGGGTCATTGTCTTGTCTGTTTATTGTCAATGCTGCTTGTTAGAGGATCATATTACTAGACTGTGTCTCCACAATGAGGAGAATGTTCCAGCCCCGGAAGTGGGGGATGTTCTGCCCCTGAAGGGGTTAATCTGGGCTCCCACATTATATATGTGTGTATCATCATCTGCTGGAGATAAAAGACGTCATAGTTACTGTGGAGGGAGAGGACGGACGTGACGGTGGAGGGAGAGGAAGGACGTGACGGTGGAGGGAGAGGAAGGACGTGACGGTGGAGGGAGAGGAAGGACGTGACGGTGGAGGGAGAGGACGGACGTGACGGTGGAGGGAGAGGACGGACGTGACGGTGGAGGGAGAGGACGGACGTGACTATAGAGGAAGAGGACGAGTGCGACGGTGGAGGAAGAGGACGGGCGCGACGGTGGAGGAAGAGGACGGACGTGACGGGGGGGGGGGGGGGATTTCTGGGTGTAAATATAAAATCAGACCTTATTACCTCCTCTGCTGCCACTTCCAGCAATGTCTCCTCTCTACTTCCTCACAACTCACCCGCTACTTCCTGTCTGTAGCTGACATCATTTCCTGTCTTCCATAGAGACTTCCTGTCTGGGTAGAAGTGAGATCCCCACCTTGTGGAGCTCAGAGGAATTGCAGCCCCAAGAACCATCTGGTAGTGTGACCCCGGCCTTGTGCTGGGTGTGTATGGACTGTATGTCCTCATAGAGGGGTCACCTCCACTCCCACCAAGGGGGACAGAAATATATGACTGCCTAGTCCAGCCTTTCTCAGCCAGGGATCCTCCAAAGGGTTCTAGGTGTTCCTGGAGCAATGAACCAATTCTGTCTCTCAGTAACAACTGACATCAATAATCTGTAAGGGGGCAGTCCTCCCACTGATGACCATGTAAGAATGTCTTTCTCCTATTGGACACCACTCATCAATATCAGGGGGTCCTTCTCCCATCGGTCACCAATGTAAAGGGCCACTACACTGACCACTGATATAAGGGGGTCCTTATCTCATCAGTCACCAATGTAAGGGACCACTACACTGACCACTTATAAAAGGGGGTCCTTCTCTCATCGGTCACCAATGTAAGGGACCGCTACACTGACCACTGATATAAGGGGGTCCTTCTCCCATCGGTCACCAATGTAAGGGGCCACTACACTGACCACTGATATAAGGGGGTCCTTATCCCATCGGTCACCAATGTAAGGGACCGCTACACTGACCACTGATATAAGGGGGTCCTTATCCCATCAGTCACCAATGTAAGGGACCGCTACACTGACCACTGATATAAGGGGGGTCCTTATCCCATCAGTCACCAATGTAAGGGACTGCTACACTGACCACTGATATAAGGGACAATGTGAGGGAAATAAATCCTCCACACCTTCCTCCAGTACGGCCTCCATAT